CGAACAAATCATGTTGATGACTTTAATATTCTATCAACTTTTACCAGTCATTGATGTTCAATACTTCACCATGAATATGATTGATTATACATATTACATTGATACATCTACATTTAGAAAGGGCAACTTGTTTCCACACCGTTCGAAAAATTCATGTAAATTTCTACGATATATAGCGCACATAAAATTAACACTAGAATTGGCATAAGTTTACGCGATATTTCGTGTAAATTTCTGCGCAATATCGCATAAATTAGCAATATTGTATGCAAGCTTGTAAACGATTTCGCTGTTTATGCCAAGGAAAGCTCGAAATTAAACGAAGGGAGATTTTACGCGATAGTTAAAATTGCAGTAAAAGAAAAAGCACAATAAACAAACAAAATAAATCCCTAAAAAAAAGTGCATTTTTCCTACGGATCCGTATTTCGTAGAACCGACGTCACTGATTTCCATCTGTTTTGTGTTTATTCAACACAGCTGACGCGTTGCCAGAACGAGGGATAAGCAAAAAATTGCATGAACGAGGGATGCTCCGGTTACAAAACAATGCTTGGGAATGTGGATGATAGATGGTGCAAAATACGCTTGAAGATATTTTCTGAAGAATTTTCTTCTAAGAGTTATGTCTGTTTGTCTATGATATAGGTATGTGCACTTTTTTCGATTATCGGTATTTCTACCGATATATAGGTATTCTTTACCGACTTTAGCCTGGTACGCAGCTGAATTTTCTTTTGGGAAAAATCCTCAAAAATTACTTTTCCGTTTTGAATGAAAACGGAAAAGTAATTTTTGAGGATTTTTCCCAAAAGAAAATTTGATAGCTATAGGCTGCTAAATTTTGAGATTATAGAGAGATGTCGTCAGATTGTAAAATCAACACTTATTAGTGTTTATGTTGTTTAAATGCATCCAAAACATCAGTTTTGCAATAAACGCCAACATTACCTAACGGAATAATTGATCAGACCATTGGAAGATTGCCGTAAAATCTCAACGCAGATGTCGCCACTGCATGATGATGATAATGTTGACAGACTGCATATAAAATTCGTGAAAATTAGCGTTAAATCATAATTTTCATCAAGCCTGTGTAAAATCCTTCCAATATAACATTCGAATTGAAGAAGAAAACGTTTTCACGATCAGACTGATATGCATCTTTGACTTTTCCAGTTGAACTTTCATTAGATATATTCATTTCATTTCGCGGCTCCATCAATGCTGCATTGTAAATATGATGTAAACAGAAGTAAATTGCTCAATTACTCAAAATAAAGATGAGATGACACTTTGAAGACCATCTAGCACCATTTTATAGTATGGTGCGTGTTGAGTAAAGCAAGTTCCGTTGCGTTTTCCGTCGAAAATTGTGAGTATCAATATGTTTTCTTAGAAAAGGCCAAAATGAACATTTATTTAATATTGGCGTCCTATACAACCAATTCTCCATTACCACCAGCATGATACAACCTTTCATAAGTAAATGAACTTAATTTCCACTTTCATCTTAGTGTAAATCTCACATATTTACCATTTTCTGAAAAATGCAGCTGCGCAGGAGGTAACCTCTCCCTGTGGGTGCAAACTTGTTATGCATAATTTGCCATGAAAACATCTCCGATCCATACCGAAATAATAACAAATAGTTTTCAAACACGTTTTCTTACACGATTCAAGCAAAAGTTTCCACGGGAAATTATTAGTTTTTCTTAATGGACCGATTTGCCCCAAAAAGCGTCTGTTTTACTTGGAAAATTTGGAGCTATCCTCCTTCTAGTAGTTCTCACTTCGAAATGTAGGTGGCGAAAGCTTGGAAAAGTTTCACTGCAAGACGCCAATTATTCCGCAAGGAAAGTGAAATTGCATTCAGAATGCGCCACCTTCATGTCGATCACGATACTAATGTAATCGATCTTTCCTTTACCGATTTCTTTTGAACTGCGTACTGGGTCAAGAAATGCTGAGGAAAAGTAATTTCTTTTGCATTCCGTGTCCTATCCCGTAGCACGTAAAAACGTCATTACTTTTCAGCTGCGTACCAGGCTTTTAAAGCCTGGTACGCAGCTGAAAAGAAAACGGAAAAGTAATTTTTGAGGATTTTTCCCAAAAGAAAATTTGACAGCTATAGGCTGCTAAATTTTGAGATTATAGGGAGATGTCGTCAAATTGTAAAATCAACACTTATTAGTGTTTATGTTGTTTAAATGCATCCAAAACATCAGTTTTGCAATAAACGCCAACATTACCTAACGGAATAATTGATCAGACCATTATTCCGCAAGGAAAGTGAAATTGCATTCAGAATGCGCCACCTTCATGTCGATCACGATACTAATGTAATCGATCTTTCCTTTACCGATTTCTTTTGAACTGCGTACTGGGTCAAGAAATGCTGAGGAAAAGTAATTTCTTTTGCATTCCGTCCCTAATAAAAAATAACCATAAACGAACGATAACCCAAATAATTGAACTTTTCCACTAATGGTTTGGAAGATACCCAGAACACGTCGTTAAGCAAAATAACCATAACAATTTTATTAGGGGTGTCCTATCCCGTAGCACGTAAAAACGTCATTACTTTTCAGCTGCGTACCAGGCTTAAGGCAGGGGATGGATATGGCTGTCATATCGCTTAAGTTTGCTGCGTATACCGAACATCTGCAACGTTGTCAGCGGTACCATGATATGTTTTGTTGTTTTGATGTTGAGTACGTGTATAGAGATTTTCACGTCCGGTTGTATTGGTGCGATATGTGAGAGCTTGTTAGTGAATATTCGAGAAAAATTCATAACAAATCAATGTCAAACTCATTTTGACAGATCTACTTTCATACATTTTTTAGGTTAGCCAGAGGAAAATAATAAACAACTTTACACGGCGTTGCTCCCGCTAGTGTGCGTGCGTTAAACGTCACTAATCTCTATTCAGCTATATATGTCAAACCCCTGCTTTAAGGTACACTGAACCAAAACATCCACAAAACTTCGAATGATTATTGCATTGCTCGAGCCCTTTAACAATATGCATTCGAATTTCGGATGATTTTCTTATGGTTGAATTCGTCGTCAGGTGATGAACATCCATATGACTGTCATCCATATACAGGATGATTTTCGTTTGAAAATTAGCTATAAAACATACGACGCTCAAAAGACAAACATTTAGGAATAGTTTGACATGCAAGTGCTTTTAATTAGATTTATAATTTGATTATCTACAATTCCATCCTGAATAGCCATAATAAGCCTTTCCATTATGGATACTAAAAAATTTCGTGATGGAGAAAACCTCCTTCACCACAAATTAGCTAAACATTGGTTTTCATCCTTTACCTACACAGAAAAAAAAGTTGTTGAATATTACATCCAAACTACTGCAACCAGGTCAATCCATCGGTTGTGTAATATAACGTTGTACGATGTACATCGATTTTGCGAACAAAATTACATCCATTGATGTACTATTGTATCTGCTTTTTGCTATTACATCATTATTTCGTACATCAGCTTGAATTACATTGATCGATATTAAAATTTTTTTTTGCTGTGTATGTTCGTAACAGCTCTGATAGCGATGCATATGCTTCCACCTCGTTTGTCAGCTCAGATCAGCAAATGACGTTCGAAAGAATTATTTACATCATCGTTTTGAATGATTTGCGTTATGGGGCTGAACCAATACCATATGCATTTCCATTTAGTATGACAGTCATTCTGCAGAGAGCATTACGCATTTCAACTGAAGGCCCTATCCCTTCTCATAACAAGTTTCATCCTGTATTCGAGAGGAAAATCATCTGATTTCAAAACAACCGTCATCCTGTTGCAGCTATCATTCGAAAAAGCGATTTCGGTGTTTTGTTTTGAATGGTCTGAGGTTCCATTCGATCAGAGGATGATGTTTGTGTACAGTGTATGTGCATCTTAGCGTACACAGCAAAAAAAAATGTAATATGGATCAATGTAATTCAAGCTGATGTATGAAATAACGATGTAATAGCAGAAAGCAGATACAGATAATATTACATCAATGGATGTAATTTTGTTCGCAAAATCGATGTACATCGTACAACGTTATATTACACAACCGATGGATTGACCTGGTTGCAGCAGTTTGGATGTAATATTCAACAACTTTTTTTTTCTGTGTATACGTGAATTAGGAGGGACTAAAGCCCTACAGTAAAAGTGTGGACGTCTGTCAAAAGTTGTTCCAATCGAACCGTCAAAATGCACTGCTTTGCTCGATTGGAACAGCTTTTTTCAGTTTTGTGGTGACAGTCGTCCATACTTTTACTGTAGGGCTTTAGGAGGGACTGCCAATGAGTACACACTCAAAAATATTACTAAAATAAGAAAGATTAAAATTTAATCATTTTATGCATAACCAATGTTTATACATTGATTCGATTATTGTATGTTATCAAAATTATACTAAGGCTGTGTTCCATTTGGAAAATTTTCACTTAGATTTGACACTTCGAAAATAAATTAAGATGTTCGAAAATCCCTCTGTTGTTGATCGGCCGATTTTCGAGAAAGCGTCTGTCAAAATTTATTCCTTGTCTGTCAGAAATAAGTCTGCTGGAATAGCAGGTTTATTTGAAAATTTTCCATCTGTCAAATTTAAGTAAAAATTCACCAAATGGAACACAGCCTACCCTAATAAAAAATAACCATAAACGAACGATAACCCAAATCATTGAACTATTCCACAAATGGTTTGGATGACACCCAGAACACGTCGTTAAGCAAATTAACCATACATTTTTTATTAGGGTAAAGGCCCAAGCGCAATGACAGCGGAAGCGGAACGGCAACGGCAGCGGAAAAGCCCGATCTAAGTAAACCAACTTGTCGGATTGAAAACTTGTTGGAACCAAATCGACTTCGGTTAGGCATCTTGAAGGCATTTGTGACAACTGTCAAACTTTCCGTTTCCGTTCCGCTTCCGTCCACATTGCGTTTGGACCTTAAGGCTGTGTTCCATTTGGAAAATTTTCACTTAGATTTGACACTTCGAAAATAAATTAAGATGTTCGAAAATCCCTCTGTTGTTGATCGGCCGATTTTCGAGAAAGCGTCTGTCAAAATTTATTCCTTGTCTGTCAGAAATAAGTCTGCTGGAATAGCAGGTTTATTTGAAAATTTTCCATCTGTCAAATTTAAGTAAAAAATCACCAAATGGAACACAGCCTAAGTCCGACTACTGGCGAAGAATTCGATCAGTGTATACCGCTGACAGCAAAGCTGTGCAAGAATTAAAAGTGCTGAAGGACGAAAACTGTTTTGGAAAGACTCCATTATCGTTCCAGCCCTCTCGTCGAGCTTCACACGCTGTGTGACACGCTATGTTGACAATCAAGAATAGGAATTCTTGTCGTCGTCTTTATCCATAGTTCAACAAAGCTTTAGTAAGTATTGAAGAATTGAATCAGTTAAGATTTGAGAAGAATATTTGAATAATAATTTTGTTTTTAGCTTCAAGCAACGTTGGCAAGCAAACGAGCCCAAGTACCACAATCTCCAAAATTCAATTGCACCATGTTTGCAACCTTAGGACCTTCATGGAACCGAATGAAGATGACCGGTTTTGAAACGGTGAAGAACTGCTGGTAAGGTGAATTTGAACAGTTTCGCTTGCCAAGTGCCAACTCTAAACTAGATCCAAACATCCTCTCTTTCCAGGCCGGTTACAACGCCAAAAAATATGAACCTGAATCCGATCACTCGCTAGCGCCATTCGGTTTGCACCATAACGGTCAATTTTTTCCGTATTTTGGACCCTAGGAGGCTAACTATAAATACACTCCGAACTTGAATGAAACTGGCGCGGATCGATATCAGAACGATTGAACAGTTTAGGAAGCGTGAGACTACAGTTTTGAAATCACCATAGGCCAAGAGATTGTTTGCCCTGTTGATGGATGTGCAGAGTAGATTTTGCTTGAAGATTCGGCTGTCCTGTCAATATCAATCTTATGGAAACGACCAACACGAGGAATCACTGGATAGCAGCTGATCCAAGTTGCCACATCTGTAACAATGCCCACGGAAACCACACAGATAACATTTTGGATACCCACTATTGCACTTATTTATCGGTTCAAACTTTCTGCATATCATTATTAATTAATCCAGTTTATGTTATATGATTTATTGTGATGAATAATAATTGACAATAAATTTTCTCCTGTAACATTATTATTATGTTTAAAATTAATAACATTGGAAATATCACTGACCAGCACATAAAAATACTATTCATGGAATAAATCCCCTTTATGCATCATTTGAATATTCGCAGTTTATACATTTGACTCTAGATTTGACTGCATAAAGCATTTTTATACTAAGTCAGTTTTCTCTCCCTTTATTCCAATCTATGCGTCGGTCAGGAGAGTTGCGATTTAGCGTAACTTTTATTCTATTTAGATTTGAAAATCTTTTGAGTGCACGGTTAGAAAAAAAAAGACCCAAAAGTAAGTTATTTTCACTTATCTCGGCACTACATGGTGTTTTGCGAAAACCCATTAATGGGTATAAAAATACCCATTTCCGCTAAAAGTGCCCCTCCTCATTTAATGGGTAAACTATGGTTTTCTCATGAATGGGTGGTCTGTCAATAAATGGATATTTTTTCACCCATTTTCTTAAATTGTGTTTACCGTAAAATGGGTGAAAAAATACCCATTTTACAAATGGAGAATGCAAGCGCTTGGTTATTTGTCCTTGTGATATAGAAAACTTTCTCATACATTGAAAATTAATGCAGGTGTTCCGCTCAAATTTACACGAAATATTATAATACCATATTGGATTATTTGTATTGACTATCCGTAAGCCGAGCTGTAAGTCTCTCCAACGTTTCGGATTCTAACATTTTCCGGAGATCGTCTATTGCAATCGCTAAATATGCTGCGGACAGTAACTGTTTGCATTCCCAATGAATCGGTGACGGAAATGAGACGATGAAATTTCGAAGTGTTTTTTCACCCATAGAGATTGCTAAAGTATGATTGTGTCAGTGATTTGTTTTCATCGGGAAAATTTTCTGCTATGAAGTTTTTTTTCCCGATGAAAACATTTTGCGTATACGTATACGTGACGTAGTGTGCGTACGATAAACGTCAGCAATCTCTATTAGTTGGTAAAAAATATACCCATAATTCAACGGTGAACTGATTCTTTAAATGGGTATTTTTTCACCCATTTTATGATTTCAAAATTCCCCCATTTTTTGACAGCTGCATACATGGTTTTAAAATGGGTATTTTTACCCATTAATGGGTTTTCACGAAACGTATAGTGCAGGAACCCAAAAGTAGGTAAAGCAAGTCAAAGTAATTTTCATTTACTTGTGTGCAGTTCGTATGGAATTTACCACTAGCTTTTTAACCAACACAGCAAACAAAAATGTAATATCGATCAACGTAATTCAAGCTGATGCATGAAATAATGATGTAATAGCAAATTTTGTTCGCAAAATCGATGTACATCGTACACCATAATATCACAAACGAAGTGACAGACGACTAACTGGCGAAGAAATCAATTTAAATAATGTGGTTCGCTGTAATAGAATTTTCTTAGAAGCTTGTGCCATCAACCACCAGATGGGTTAGTTTTTTTGTTTTTATTTGAACAAAGTTGATTTTGTGTACAATGATTCTTTGACAGTGTGCAAAGAGTGTATCATTTTGTCATTTGTTTTATGCATTTCAGTTTTGAGTAGAGTGAAACAGATAGAACCAAAACATACTAGTATGTTTTGGTGAAAATGCTAGTACAATCCAGTAGTAGTGTTGCCATGTGGTACAATCATAGAGGTAACTCTAAGACAAGTAGGTCGCGAAGAAACGTGCTCAACTTTTTGGCTCACCTCTGGTACCACAAACGAAGTGACAGACGACTAACTGGCGAAGAAATCCATTAAAATAATGTGGTTCACTGTAATAGAATTTTCTTGAAAGCTTGTGCCATCATCCACCAGATGGGTTAGTTTTTTTGTTTTGATTTGAACAAAGTTGATTTTGTGTACAATGATTCTTTAACAGTGTGCAAAGAGTGCGTATCATTTTGTCATTTTTTTATGCATTTCAGTTTAGAGTAGAGTGAAAGAGATAGAACCAAAATATTCTAGTACATTTGGTTAAAATGCTAGTTCAATCTAGTAGTAGTGTTGCCATGTGGTACAATCCAGTAGTAGTGGTGTTACCATGTGGTACACTGAAAATTTGCAATAGCAGGTTAGTCACCAAAGTTTTCGAGCCGCTCCGTCTGTCACTTCGTTTGTGTCTGGTACTATCTTCGGTCCCAAGATTGTCGAATCACCCCTCGAAACATAGGTTAAACCAATAACCCCTCATTTTATCTGTCAAACTTTCATAGCGAATCAAAACAAACATATATAACTGATGATATCAGTATTTAAATATTTATTGATGAATATTTGTAAAGAATACTAAAGTCCATGTGACATATCGAAATTAAAAGAAATTTAGTATGGCACCTTTATAGATTACTATCATATGACCGATGAAGAAATAATCTTAAATGTAAGTATCGATCAATAAAGATTTTTAAATGTGTACATCTAAATCATAGGAAATTTAAAGTAAAGAATTGCCGACATAAATCTTTATTTCTGTATAAAGAACTTTGAAGAAGTTTCACGAACGGTTGGTCGGGATGTCTACACGGTATCCGCAAAATACCCAATAATGACTACAAAGTAAGCATTTTCAAGGGAGACTGGGACTACCCATTAAATGAGTAAAAAAGTTACCCATTTATGAGTATTTGATACTCACAAATCAATACTTACTACTTATTTTTGTAATTACTCTTAAATGGATAAAATTCAACTCATTTAATGGATAGTCCCAGCACAAACGAAGTGACAGACGGAGCGACTCGAAAACTTTGGTGACGCATCTGCTATTGCAATTTTTCAGTGTACCACATGGCAACACCACTACTACTGGATTGCACCACATGGCAACACTACTAATGGATTGTACCACATGGCAACACTAAATGTACTAGAATGTTTTGGTTCTATCTCTTTCACTCTACTCTAAACTGAAATGCATAAAAAAATTACGAAATGATACACTCTTTGCACACTGTCAAAGATCATATTGCACACAAAATCAACTATGTTCAAATCAAAACAAAAATACTAGCCCATCTGGTGGCTGATGGCACAAACTTCTAAGAAAATTCTACTACAGCGAACCACATTATTTTAATTGATTTCTTCGCCAGTTAGTCGTCTGTCACTTCGTTTGTGGTAGTAGCTGGGCGTACGCTGAGTAGATAGCAAGAAGATTTATCACGATTTTGAAGAATTCCTGCAAAAAAATGATGCGCGATGCAAGTAGATGCGAGAAATGAAAGAAGATTTTTCGAAGATTTATTCGCTATAGTGTGAGATTTTTTGAGCATCTAGAATCGAGATTTAGATGTGTCGCCCCCCTCGGTTTTAAGTCAAATGTAACTATTTCGTAAAGAGTGAATGTTGGGTGAAAAGCGGTGAAAAGTACCTAAAACCGAGTTTTTAATGTTTATTTCTGTCTATTCAATTTTGAAAATCTTCAAAATTTAGCACAGCGTCAGCGTTTTAGTACTGGCACGCAGTGAGCGCAACGCATCTTTGTGGGTTGCTAAACTGAATAGCGTTGGCTCAAACCAAGCTGTCAGTTGACGCTGACGGTGACGGACTATTGTGGGTGGCCCTTAACTTTAACGTATACACTCAATGACGTTGCACCGTTGTTGTTTATGTTTACTGCAGCTTTCTGTTTGTCATAATTTTTGCCTAGATTTTCGTTTTCTATAGCTCTGATCGATTTCGACTTCGGCTTTTCATGATAAAAACGGTACTGGACGTTCCCCCAGCAACAAATCTCTCAAAGTTGCATTCTCATGGCAAATCGAGCGTAATACAACCACGGGACCATCACTCTGGGCTTCCGTTAACAGGGGCGGTGTTGTCAATTGATTCCCGTTCCATAGGAGAACAGCACATTGGTTCACAGACGATGAAGAATTCGTGGAAATTAATTCCTGGGAATGGAAGTGCGTCCGATTATGTTCACTGAGAACAGCTACCAAAAAGGCATAACATCTCTGATCACGCCTTCCTTCGGAAGGGAAATAAAGCCGTTGGTCCCCGGTTCATGAGTTGATGGGTTTATAGGTAGGGTCCAGGTGTGGGAGCTGCCTTCCTGGCGTCGGTAGCATTGGTGCTCAGCACGGAAAACAAGATCGACGGAAAACAAATCCAAGGAAAAAAAAAAACCATTCGTTGCGTGGAATATGCTTGCTGTCCAATTAGCCAGCTGATTTTGCTGCTTCCGGTTCCAGTTCAACCCGAAGGTGAATTTCCAATAGCGATGAATCGTTTCCATGGTCTTGTTGATCTTTTTGAAGCTCAGGACTCTGAAAAAGTTTGCAGAAGCAAATTCATTTAGAATGTGTTTATTTTAATATTGTTTTTATACATACCGGCTGGATAACGTCATCAGGTTATGAGTCGTTACCCATGAGTTCAGCTACCGGGATATGTCCTATGTAGGTGCAGAATTCGGTTTACGGATTGGATCCCAGATTAACACGGTGCTGTCTCAGTTGACACGGGTAAGTTTTTCAAATGGCACCTTGTTCCAGTCAACATTAGAACTAACTGGCGCTCCTAATAGGTCCAACTTTGGCACTCCGACTCGTATTCGACAGCTACAGCAGGCACCGGAACCACAATTTGGACCATGTCTATAATAATTTTAAACATGAATTAATATCTAAAAATTCGCCTGGATGACGTGAACTTACCTCATCGAACATTTCGGCAGCCTAGAATTGTTTAAAACTGATGACGACAACTCATTCAAACCGAGATTCAAACAAAGTAATGACGAACTTATGAAGCGATGAAATTATTTCATCCAAAACGAAGTGCAATCCCAACACTTGATTGTGGATACTTTCAAAGCATGGAAAACGAAACAATAGAGATAGAAAGCCCTCAAAACTAAGAACCCTCGCAAGACTAATGTCACAAACGAAGTGACAGACGACTAACTGGCGAAGAAATCCATTAAAATAATGTGGTTCACTGTAATAGAATTTTCTTGGAAGCTTGTGCCATCATCCACCAGATGGGTTAGTTTTTTTGTTTTGATTTGAACAAAGTTGATTTTGTGTACAATGATTCTTTGACAGTGTGCAAAGAGTGTATCATTTTGTCATTTTTTTATGCTTTTCAGTTTTGAGTAGTGTGAAAGAGATAGAACCAAAACATTCTAATACATTTGGTGAAAATACTAGTACAATCCAGTAGTAGTGTTGCCATGTGGTGCAATCCAGTAGTAGTGGTGTTGCCATGTGGTACACTGAAAAATTGCAATAGCAGGTTAGTCACCAAAGTTTTCGAGCCGCTCCGTCTGTCACTTCGTTTGTGCTAATGTGTTAGTACAATTAATGTAAATTTTAGTATTTTGTTTAAATCGTTAGTTTCGTATTGATTGTTGCTAATACCAACAATCAATACGAAACAAAAGATTTTAAATTGGCTCACTACTTGACTAGCCTATTGGTCCCAAAAAACGATTAACGTACCCCATTCTAGTTGAAATTCTAGTACTACACTATGTTTGTTTTGATTCGCTATGAAAGTTTGACACATAAAATTAGGGGTTATTGGTTTTTCCTATGTTTCGAGGGGTGAATCGATTAGCTTGGGACCGAAGAGAGTACCAGAGCTGAGCCAAAAAGTTGAGCACGTTATTTCTGGAGCTTCTAGTCTTAGAGTTACCTCTATGCTAATACTAACGGTGATAGACAACTCTATATTAGCTGGAAGAGCAAATTTTTCGACGGTGCCGTCCATGTTGGGTATATAAATGGTGATACAGCTTTGTCACCACAAACGAAGTGACAGACGGAGCGGCTCGAAAACTTTGGTGACTAACCTGCTATTGCAATTTTTCAGTGTACCACATGGCAACACCACTACTACTGGATTGTACCACATGGCAACACTACTACTAGATTGAACTAGCATTTTAACCGAATGTACTAGAATGTTTTGGTTCTATCTCTTTCACTCTACTCAAAACTGAAATGCATAAAAAAATGACAAAATGATACGCACTCTTTGCACACTGTCAAAGAATCATTGTACACAAAATCAACTTTGTTCAAATCAAAACAAAAAAACTAACCCATCTGGTGGATGATGGCACAAGCTTCCAAGAAAATTCTATTACAGTGAACCACATTATTTTTATGGATTTCTTCGCCAGTAAGTCGTCTGTCACTTCGTTTGTGTTTGTCACTATATAGTCGAGGAGGTCGCGGGAAAAGTGCGGTTTTAGAGCAAATTGTAAACAAACTGTCCCATACAAAAATCCAACATAGACCTTTTTGACGTTTAATCATCTTTCTCATGAACGGACGGTTTGTTTTCCCACTAATCTGTTTCCCTCTTGCTTGCATTCGTTCGCTTTAAATGGTACAGTAGTGTGCGCCGATTAAACGTCAAAAAGCTCTATGGCTGAATCATGAATTTGACACATTAGAACACCTATATGTAGTCACCTTGGCGCCGTCAGCGAAAATAGTATCACGGCGAATGAGTACGACCCAAATTTGAGTTTAGTTCACTCATAATCGCCAAAAGTGCAGGAACTCAGCGATGTGTAAATTTGTCTCATGGTTTCCTGTGGAAAACCTAAACAATCTGCCGGAAAATGAGGAAATTGACGAAAATTTTATGCAGTCTCGGAGTAGTACCAATTAGGTTTTGCACCGTCGGGGTTAACCTCAATCTGATGACAGTTCAGTGGTACTATTTACGTGGACTTAGCCGATTTTTTCTTGGGTAGATTTTCTCGATAATTTTACAGACTACATTGAGATGTAAACCACACTTCTCCAATGTCCATGAGCAACATCCTTTCAACGCGCTGTTCTTTGACAATTTTCAATTTTAGAATATTTTTTTTTCGAAAAAAACGACTAAGTGCTTGTAAACAGTACCACTTAACTGTCAAAAAGGTTCAGCCGATTAACACTGAGTTCATTTGAGACGTCACGCTGCAGTACCTAATTAGGTTTTGCACCGTCGGGGTTAACCTCAATCTGATGACACTTTAGTGGTACTGTTTACGTGGACTTAGTCGATTTTTTCTTGGGTGGATTTTCTCGATAATTTTTCAGACTGCAGTGAGATGTAAACCACACTTCTGCAATGTCCACGAGCAACATCCTTTCAACGCGCTGTTCCTCGACAATTTTCAAGTTAAAATTCGGAAATTTTAGAATTTGTTTTTTCGAAAAAACGACTAAGTGCTTGTAAACAGTACCACTGAACTGTCAAAAAGGTTCAGCCGATTTACACTGAGTTCATTTGTGACGTCACGCTGCAGAACCTAATTAGGTTCTGCAGCGTGACGTCACAAATGAACTCAGTGTTAAACGGCTGAACCTTTTTGACAGTTCAGTGGTACTGTTTACAAGCACTTAGTCGTTTTTTCGAAAAAAAATTTCTAAAGTTTCTGAATTTTAACTTGAAAATTGTCGAGGAACAGCGCGTTGCAAGGATGTTGCTCGTGAACATTGCAGAAATGCTGTGTACATCTCACTGCAGTCTGAAAAATTATCGAGAAAATCCACCCAAGAAAAAATCGACTAAGTCCACGTAAACAGTACCACTGAACTGTCATCAGATTGAGGTTAACCCCGACGGTGCAAAACCTAATTAGGTACTGCAGCGTGACGTCACAAATGAACTCAGTGTAAATCGGCTGAACCTTTTTGACAGTTCAGTGGTACTGTTTACAAGCACTTAGTCGTTTTTTCGAAAAAACAAATTCTAAAATTTCCGAATTTTAACTTGAAAATAGTCGAGGAACAGCGCGTTGAAAGGATGTTGCTCGTGGACATTGCAGAAGTGTGGTTTACATCTCACTGCAGTCTGAAAAATTATCGAGAAAATCTACCCAAGAAAAAAACGACCAAGTCCACGTAAACAGTACCACTGAACTGTCATCAGATTGAGGTTAACCCCGACGGTGCAAAACCTAATTGTGTAGCAAAATCTAGCACAAAACATACAAAGGCTCTGAACCATTTGGTGGATTATTTTAACTTTTGGTTAAAATTTGACAGATGAAAAGTTATCGATTAACCCTGTTATCCGAGCGTGGTTACTTCTGACAGACAAGAAGTAAAATTTTGACGACCGTGGCTCGAAAACCGATCGATCGACAGCACGGGGATTTTCGAACATAAGAAATAACTTTCGAAATGTCACTTTTAACCACGAGTTAAATTTAACTCGGCAAATGGTTCACAGCCAAAGAAGGTCCGCACAAATTGCACGCTGTTTCATAAGATTCCAAAATTTTGCGTAAAAAATCACAAACTATTTTATATTTTCAAATGTTTTTAGATGCATTATAGGTCTATAAGCAATAGTATTATGTACATATTATTATTTTTACTGTTGGATTGCCCATATCGGCTTTATATATGTACATTTTAATACTAAGCAACAATCAGATTTCTAATAGAATTCTATTTGAAAGCATTTAAAATTTTCCCGTAATATGCATTCGTGAAATTTTGAAATCAGCATGTGTGTTACGATGGATTTCTTTTTGCCATATCGGATTCATTTTCACTATTCTTTGTTGTTGTTCTGTAACCGCAATGTAAATGAGAAAATATATATAATATTAATATAAAATAAGAATAATAGTATATTTTATAAAGCCGTATTTAGTGTTGCTTTAATTTTAATTTAAGGCACGTTATGAATTAGCTCTTGTGGTGTTATAAAATAAACTTGGGCCTTATCGCCGGGCAATTGGTACTGAATGATTGGCTTTGTTTTTCTACCGTTATATGGCAATAATTCGCTATCTGGGTTGATAGCGGGTAACGGATGTTTATAATTAATCAATGTATCTTTGTCTAAATATCCTTCATGATGTTGCTGCTGGTTTCGTGAGGAGTACTTGTTCTTGTGTCGAACACTAGATGATTGATTAGCAAAATTGTCTTTGTATTTGTATTGACTTGATTGATTTAGAGCGGTTTTACTAGAAACATTTGTTTGATAAGATGATTTACTAGGAAGGTATAATTTAGTATTGTAGCCACTCGCTCCATTGTTGTATATGAAAGGTTTTGGTATCTCATGAACCCTAACTTTATCAATACTGTACCAGTTGGGTTGGGCAAAATAGAACGGCCTTGCAGTTGTGAAAGAATGGTAACCCGAAGGATTAGCGCTAGTTATTTCTACGTTTGCTGAATGATCCCTATAACTGTAATTATTGTGCTGGTCTGGTTTGTCGTAATGCTGCATTGGTCTCGGTTGGATTGGTTGACTATTCAAAGAATGTTGGTTGTAGAACTGTTCATTAATTTGTTGATTTGGAACGCGTTGATGACTGAATGGATCTTCTTCTAACAAGCTGGGGTATGTTTGAGTTGGAGGAGATATTGATTTCCTGTAGTCAAATGAAAAATTGTAGATAGGCCTTTGAGCCTTTGGAGTCCTCAAATTGCTGATTATTGGAAGTGAATTTTCATATAGCCTCAGGGTTTGTTTTATCGTTTCAATTTCTCTGTTAAATTCTTGCATAGTTTTATATCGATAGTTTCCTAAATCAGGTGCCACATACAAACCTTTATCTACAACTGGCAAAAAGGTTTTAGAAGGATGCCGTTTTTGATTCAAAAGAGATTGACTGAATGGATTTTCGGTCGTTGTTTTATAACTGACTTTATATCCTTCGTTTGTCAATGTAGTTAAATAAGGTATTGGAGTTGTTATGGAATAATCATGAAACGGTTGCAGCATAGCTGTCCGTGCGTCGAAATACTCGAAATATATTGGATTGCCTTTAAAATTGTCGGGACTTAGAGAGATAAGTGGATGAGAAATTTGAGTATTTACTTTGTGAAGCTGAGTTCTTGTTCGTGAAGGTGGTTTGGTCTTGCTACTTTTCCTCGTTGTAGTTGTAAGAGGAAGTATTTTATCGTTATTCTCAGGGAACTTTTTAACATTAACTTTTTCGATTTCTATATTATAGCTTGGAGTTTCTATCGTAATTGGCTTACAATTAACAGATTTTACTGCAGTCGAGTTTAATTGAGCCTTAACAGCTGCTGAGAGAGTAGCATTCAGTTCTTTTTGCTGAATGTCATTTATTTTATTCAATACATCCAATACAGGCATCTTTTCTTTATCAAGCGAAGCAAAGAAATTAGGAGGTGGAGGTAATATAATACCAGGTACTAGAGGGCCTGGTGACACCGGATTGTTATAATTACTTTTGTATTCAAAACTGTATGGCGGCGGGTAGTACAGCGATGGATCATCTTCGTCAATGTATGTGTTATTCTGCTCATCGATCGATCCAGAGATTGGTAATGGTGGTAAATTCAAAAACGGATTTGAGAAAGTATGGTTCAGTTTGTCGAGCGGGAGTGGAGCAGGTGGTGGATATTGGTATCCATTAAACTGCGAAGAAGTGCTGTCCTTTCCATTCCAGGGAGGGGGACCTTTTTTATTAAGATCGTCGGCTTTAATGTGCGGGATTCTCTCATTAGAGAAGAGAAAAACTGACTGATTTGTAAACGGATTGTATGACGGGATTTTATTATTTCCGATAAACTGAATCGGCCCATTATCGGTGAGCTGGACAGGAAAGGGAGGTGGCACCTTGGGATTCAAAGGTAACTTAACCTGCCTTGTGGGAGCGTTATAGTCATCAATTGGCTTCCATTTTGGTTTATTGCTGTTTTTATTGACAAATCCTCCTTTTAAAACTAACAAGTAATCTTCTGCAAGCCAGATTTCTTCATCTTTTAGTCCTCCATAATTCCTGGCATTATCTTTTGGAACATCCGAATTCGACTTATAACTCAATACACCTGGTCGTTCAGGTGTAGTTTGAAACAGCTCTTTGTGTATAAGTCCATATTTTCCCTCCGCTACTTGATCAGATAATGATTTTTTGCTTTCTTCCTTTTTAGCATTGATTGTTTCTTTTTCGTTTTTTCCGTTTCCAGCACTTGCCGTGATCAAGAGTAATCCGTCATCGAGGTGATTGTTTTCTGTTAAATTTAATTTTTTTTTATAGCTAAAGGCAGCAACACTGTTATTACTTGGCGTAAAGTTAATGTTCCTCAAATTCCGTAATGTTTCGCGGGTAAAAAGTACATGACCACCAATCAATTGTTGTATAGTTCTTCCGTGGTTTCTTCTGTACCTAGAAATATAAGAACAAATATCACACATCAATCTGTTTGAGTTTGAATTAGGTACACGGCGAATGAGAACAACCCAAATTTGAGTTTAGTTCACTCATAATCGCCAAAAGGATTCTATAACATTCCCCAAAAAACCATTCCCCAGAATGAACCATTCCCCAGAAAAGCATGCCATTTATGTATTAGATTGACTATTTTGTTTATTATATAGGGTTTTTGATCTAATTTCCGTCCTACTAAGCACAACACACGCTATTTTTTTCTGAACGAGTTTAAACAAAAAGTGGAATATTTCTGTCAAAGATGACTTCTAAATTTATTCTCCTTTCCATGCGTACCGTTAGATTTGATAAAGAGTCACAAATTGTTGAGATATTGTTCAAAGTCTAATACTGCTTCTTGATCCTAAATTCGTTCTACGAGTTTCAATTCCGTCCTAACACATTGAAACGCCATTAGATTTTCTTCGTCCTACGGATAAACGTAGAAAAAGAGGATTCGCTAGGAGCGCTTCTTTTGTTTTGAGAACAATGAGCGTAAATATTCATACAATGCGCTCTAATAGGATGTATGTTGTAGCTAATGAACTAACGCATCGGAACAAACCTATTATTAATTTGTGCACGATGAAATCATTGAAATTATTGATCTTTTCCGATCGATAGAACGGAAATGGGCGATTACGACGAAGCAGTACTCTACCCTATAGTCACTCCTGGAATCTTCTTCCGCGTATATAAAAAGAAGAGAAAAACTTCTTAATGGGTCAAGGGCTTTTAGGATACCTTATTGGATCAAGGGGTTTTCCCTTCTTTGGAAATATAAGAAAAGGAAATAATTAATTCTTTGGATATACGATGAAGAAGGGAATATTCCCTTCTTTGAATATATAAAAGAGTACATGATTAATTCTTTAAATATATGATAAAGAAGGGAATATTCCTTTCTTCGAAAATATAACAAAAGGAAATAATTAATTCTTTGGATATACAATAAAGAAGGGAATATTCCCTTCTTTGAATATATAAAAGAGAACATCATTAATTCGTTAAATATATAATAAAGATGGGAATATTCTGTTCTTTGAAAATTTAAGAAAAGGAAATCATTAATTCTTTGGATATACGATAAAGAATGGAATGTTCCCTACTTTAAATATGTAAATAATATGAAAAATAAGGGAATATTCCCTTCTTTGAAAATATAACAAAAATAAAGAATTACTTATTTGGATATACGATAAAGAAGGGAATATTCCCTTCTTTGAATATATAGAAGAGAACATAATTAATTCGTTAAATATATGATAGAGAAGAGAATATTCCCTTCTTCGAAAATTTAACAAAAGGAAATAATTAATTCTTTGGATATACTATAAATGATGAAAGAGATATAGATGCAAAATTTGAAATGTTGAAATGTCAATAAAAGCAATGTCCGAGCAAAAAAGACCTGCTTTTAGACTAAGCGCACTGGTGCGTTGCTAAACGCAATTTACTAACACGACGGGAAAACGGGAACCGGCTTTGTAGTGCTGGGTAAGATGCGCCAACGCGTGATTGGTTGGCAGCCGATCAACGCGAGGATGTGCAAGTTGAGGATTAAGGGCCGTTTCTTCAACTACAGCATCATCAACGTGCACTGCCCACACGAAGGGAGACCCGACGACGAGAAAGAAGCGTTCTATGCGCAGCTGGCGCAGGTGTACGACGGCTGTTCGCAACGGGACGTCAAAATCGTCATCGGCGACATGAACGCTCAGGTAGGACGGGAAGCAAAGTATAGCCCGGCAATCGGGCCAAACAGCCTGCATGCCGTATCGAACGACAACGGCCAACGATGCGTGAACTTTGCAGCCTCCCGGGGTATGGTAGTTCGAAGTACCTTTTTCCCCCGCAAGGATATCCACAAAGCCACCTGGAGATCACCTGACCAACACACAGAAAACCAAATCGATCACGTTCTAATCGACGGGAAATTCTTCTCAGACATTATCAACGTCCGCACGTACCGCAGTGCGAACATAGATTCGGACCACTACCTAGTTGCAGTATGCATGCGCTCAAAACTCTCGACGGTGCATAACACACGTCGAAGTCGAACGCCGCGACCCAACATTGAGCAACTACGGGACGCCGGAATTGCCCAGGACTACGCGCAGCAGCTGGAAGTTGCACTTCTCACCAGTTAAGCCATAGGTAGTACTGCTGCAGCGGCACTATGTACTGCAATCCCGGACCGAAGAAATGACTGGTTTGACGGCGAATGCAAACTGTTAGTAGAGGAGAAGAATGCAGCACGGGCGAGAATGCTGCAACACCGCACGAGATTGAATGTGGAGCGATACAGACAAAACTCGGTTTTCCGAAGGAAGAAGCGTCAGCAGGAAGCCGAGATCGCGAGGTGATGGAAAATCTGTACCGCGTAAACGACACACGGAAATTCTACGAGAAGCTAAATAGTTCGCGCAAAGGCTACGTGCCGCAAGCCGATATGTGCAAGGACTTGGACGGTAAACGAGTGTGAGGTGATTGAGAGGTGGAAGCAGTACTATGACGAGCACCTCAACGGTGAAGCAGCAGAAAACGAAGGTGGCACGGCAACAGACCTTGGAGCACGCGCAGACGACAGGCTACCGGCCCCTGATCTTCAAGAAGTTGAGGAGGAGATCGGTCGGCTGAAGAACAACAAAGCAACTGGTGTAGATCAACTACCAAGTGAGCTATTGAAATACGGTGGTGAAGCACTGGCTAGAGCGCTGCACTGGGTAATTGCCAAGATTTGGGAGGAGGAGATATTACCGGAGGAGTGGATGGAAGGTGTCGTATGCCCAATCTACAAAAAGGGCGACAAGTTGGATTGCTGCAACTACCGCGCGATCACACTGCTGAGCGCCGCCTACAAGGTACTCTCCCAAATTCTATGCCGCCGTCTGTCACCATATGCAAGAGAGTTCGTGGGGCAATACCAGGCGGGATTCATGGGTGCCCGCGCTACCACGGACCAAATTTTCGCGATTCGGGAGGTTCTGCAGAAATGCCGCGAATACATCATTTGTTCATCGATTTCAAATCCGCATACGACACAATCGATCGAGATCAGCTATGGCAGATTATGCACGAGTACGGATTTCCGGATAAACTGACGCGATTGATCAAGGCGACAACATCGATGGATCGAGTGATGTGCGTTGTTCGAGTATCGGGGACACTCTCGAGTTCCTTTGAATCTCGAAGGGGGTTACGGCAGGGTGATGGACTTTCGTGTCTGCTGTTCAACATCGCGTTAGAAGGTGTGATCAGAGTAGCTGGGATAGACACGAGTGGCACGATATTCAGGAAGTCCATCCAGCTCCTTGGTTTCGCCGATGACATTGACATTATGGCTCGGAACTTTGAGATGATGGTGGAAACGTACATCAGACTGAAGGCTGAAGCTAGACGGATTGGACTTGCCATCAACGCATCAAAGACAAAATACATGAAAGCAAGAGGTTCTAGGGAAGACAATGTTAGCCTCCCACCCCGAGTTCAGATTGACGGTGACGAAATCGAGGTGGTCGATGAGTTCGTGTATTTGGGCTCACTGGTGACCGCCGAAAATGATACCAGCAGAGAAATTCAAAGACGCATTATGGCAGGGAATCGTGCCTACTTTGGACTCCGGAGGACGCTCCGGTCGAATAAAATTCGCCGCCGCACGAAGTTGACTGTCTACAAGACGCTGATTAGACCGGTGGTCCTTTACGGCCACGAGACCTGGACTATGCTCGTGGAGGACCAACGCGCCCTTGGTGTTTTCGAACGGAAGGTGTTGCGTACCATCTACGGTGGAGTGCAGATGGATGACGGAACGTGGAGGAGGCGAATGAACCACGAATTGCACCAGCTGCTGGGAGAACCATCCATCGTCCACATTGCAAAAATTGGGCGACTACGGTGGGCTGGGCACGTCGTAAGAATGCCGCATGATGACCCAGTGAAAATGGTTCTAGAAAGCAACCCAACAGGAACAAGAAGAAGAGGCGCACAGCGGGCAAGGTGGATCGACCAAGTAGAAGTTGACCTGCGGACCCCTCGCAGACTACGAGGCTGGCGAACTGTGGCCATGGATCGAGTAGAGTGGAGACGACTTCTTCGGACAGCAGAGGACAACAAGGCCTTAGCCTGATTGGTAAGGTAAGGTATCATAACACGACACCGCACCGGCAGTTGTCAAACAGGCTGGGAAATAGAAACTTACCGTTTCGGTGAGCAGTGGGTGTGCTGATTGGGCAACCTGATCCAATCCAATCCAACTTTGCTATTCGAAGAAACAAAACAAAACAAAGTGAAACGCCAAAAGGTTCCTACGAATCTCGAAGCCAGTCTAGCGGTAAAATTTGTTTTCAAGTGTTCTGTATTTAATTTGGCAGAAGTGAAACTAGTGCGAAAATGAGTGCGTCGAAGCCACGGGGAAAGAATTGGACCCATCTGGAAGACGAAGTTGTGTCGGGCATGGCTTGATGTGTCTCAGGACGCGATTGTTGGGACAAATCAAAAAGCTGAAAATCTGTACGGGAGAATCTACGAGAAATTCGTAGAAATTTGCACAGACAACAGCGTCACAGCCCACCCGGAACTACGAGCTCCAAGCGACATAAAAGGGAGGTGGCATTTTATTAACAAATCCGTCAGCAAGTTTGCTGGATGCATGGCACAAATAAATGCTCGCCAGTGAAGCAGTGCTTCCCCGGAAGACAATCTCAAAGAGGCGTTGACGCTGTATGCCACCAAAGAGAAAACACCGTTTGTCATGATGCACTGCTACAGGATTTTGGAAAATGTACCGAAGTGGCAGCAGTACCAACAATCAATACGAAACTAACGATTTTAAATTGGCTCACTACTTGACTAGCCAATTGGTCCCAAGCAAACGATTAACGTATCTCATTCTAGTCGAAATTCTAGTACTACGCAATGTTTGTTTTGATTCTCTATGAAAGTTTGACAGATAAAAT